TCATACGCAGACTGAAAGTAGACTGTTTCCACTGTTTCTTTTTATGTGAAGATGAAACCATATCATCATTACTGTGTTGTTGCTGCTGTTCACATTTCCCCATATGATGTTTTTGGGACACACCTGAAAAAATGTGAACCAATCCTTTAATGTTGGTTCTTTTTCCAGAGTTTTGGCAGCATAAACCTTTCTGACAGAGCACTCTGAATGGGTTCTAACAGCACTATAAAAGGGAAGACAAGTGAATGATTAATCTGCTTATAATTCAGCAGTAAATAAATATATTGTATATCTCTGAACAACCAAGCCTTCCCTAAAAGTTTTCTATTTCTACACTGTGGCCACCTGTTCTTTCACATGTTGAAACTCACAGTGAGGTTGTGGTTGCTCTGTAGGTGTCATATGGCTCTGCATGTGTGTCTGTGTGTCACAGTGCAAACAGAAAGATGTACATTCTTTCGTCTAACTCAAGAACCACGCTCACCTTCCTTTGTCTCTGCCTGTCAGAGACTTTCTCTCACTGAGATTCTCAGTTGTTTCTGGAAGATAAAACCAACGTGTGTATTTGCTGTGTTTGCTCCGTCGAAGAAAAGGCTTGTTTGTAGTCAGTGTGAACAGAATGTGCGTCATTGCTAAAAAGAAAACAGTGGAGGATTTGAATAGTTGAAACACTTGTTTTCCTTCTCTGTGTGTTTCATGTTGCCCTGAGGCTTTTACATAAGACCGTCTTCTCACCATCACTTGACCCCAGCAGCTTTACACAATGATGACTGTATCCTTATATAAGCAGCCTCTAATCACCATGAGCCCTCTGGGAGATCACTGCCTGCTAATCATTTGTTGATATGACCACTGTTACACAGATGAGGTTTGTGTACTGTGGAATCTGACTGCATTATTCCTCTTAACACCCTCTGTGATTACTCTCCTGTCAGTGTGTTGTTTTAATGTGCTATTGATCAGGCTGGTAATTGTATTTGGGCACTATCTACAGGTGAATAAAGGGCCAACTTTGTTTCAGGGATACAAAGCTGTTACCATATCCTAGTTATTATTAAACCAACTGACTCTGCAGGAGGCGAGTCTGTTTGACATATGTTGTATGTATAGAAGACAAGGGAGTGGCATAAAAAAGCAAAATGGAATTTGGCGAAACGTATACAGAACATAGTGTTCACATGAATGAGAAACACCCTCGGAAGGATAGCAGGTATACACTGTGATTCATCAGGAAGAACTTTTCACAGAAGATCTAGTCAGCCTTTATACCCTTGAGTGTATTCGCCTGTATGTGTGTGTGTGTGT